GGGAGAGAAGAAATACTAAAAACGCTATTGGAGATTTTGAAGACTGGTATTTGCTTTTGGTGACAGCGGCATGTGCATGCTTCTGACAAAAATGTCCAACTATGGAAATGGGCAACAGAGGTTTGAAGGCTCCTAAGTAACGAGGGAAGTGTTAACGTCCAACGCTGATATTGCAGGTCTTGCAGCTGGGATCTTTCTTTGCGTTTGCAGTCGACAAGCTCATTAGTTGGTGACCAGTAATTTCCGCAACTGTGCCAAGGGACAGATCCACAGGATCAGTGTAAATTACTTCCAAAATAACATCCTGGGCATGATGGTACACCATGACACCATCTTCTTCATCGCAGGTCAGAAATTTGTTATCTTTTATATTTAGTTGAGGAAGGCGCTGCTTACAGAATTCGTCTCCCGGCGATCCAACAGGGGCGATGACGAGAATGACGTAGTGGTAGGCCGTGTACATGCAGTAGAAGTCTCCAAAGTACAAGTTAGTATTTGGGTTGAAGAGTTTTTCAGCTGCAACCTCAAACCTGTATCTTCCGTAAGGTGAATCTTGTGGTGGCTTCCCAGTGTTAAACTCAGTGTTGCAGCTGAAGAAGATGCCTTCCAGCTTCCCACTGATCGGAGAGCCATGGCTGCCACTGTTATCCTTAACAGAGGGCTGCATAGCATTCCCATGGTGCTCCCTAGAAACGAATGACTGGTATTGTTTATTTTGTAACACACGTTAAAGGAAAAGTGGAAGTTAGGACGTCCTGCTGTTTGGTAACTGTACTGAAGGGACACAAAGGAAAACTGTTAAACTGGAAACTGTGGTTAGCGTCATGATCTTAGGACCGAGAAAATCAAGCGACGCCCAACTCAGAAAGAGCCAGAATAACTCCTGCTCAAGGGGAACATCTGCTTTTCCAGTCTGGCTTCTCTGCCAACTGTGAGCTGTGTGGGTATTACACGAAGGCAAAGAATAGCACAAACAAAAAAGCCCCCAGGCCACCAATATCTTTAATTAGCTGATTTGTTCAGCCTTCCACTACATTTCTAACAATAAACATAGTTTAGTTTAATCACATGTTGAAAATTGCAAGTCAGTCCCAATATGCTGATGTACTGTTTGTTAATGCATATTTTTAGCATAGGTAGTATATATTCTGTGTAGAAAACAGCCAGTGAAAGTTCTTTCTGAATGATGTTTTTCAGGGAGCTTATAGGAAGGAACGTACTGCCTGCCATGGTTTTTTTCCCCAAATGATAATTTCAGCTCTAATTTGTCTACTGCTGACGTCAGTCAGAGGTGGGCATAGAGCGTTAGGCAATTTGGTTAACTTCCACTGTGGTCGGTATCCAGCTTCTACAGTCACTAGTCCTAAGGGGAAAAAATGTACAAGACTAGCTACATTTGGTTCCAGTGAAAAGAAACATTCAGTGATGTAATGAGTGAATTTTCAAAACCCTAAATCCCAAATTGGCAGCATTAGGCTGCTAAATTTCGGAGAACAGACCAAAACACCCCATCTAATTCTGCCTGGCACCTGAGGTTTTATGTGCAGTAGGAACTTCCCCAGAACTCGTGCCCCACACCTCTCTGGAAAGGCCACAGTGACAGCTTTGGCTCTCTCTGCACCTGCAACCCTGAGATACCAGAACGAGAAACACTCCCTGCTGCAGGTCCTACCATTCACCAGATTTACTGAGCACCTTTAGAAAATGACTTTATACACATTGACAGACTAAAAATGCATGAGCCCGTGGGGCTGCAGAGTCTTGCACATGCTGCTTTACTTCTGTTCTTTCTTCTCATTTTCCTTCTTTCCTCTTTTTTTTTGGGGGGGGGAGGGAAAATGAGCCAAGAAAGACTGTTGTCTCTCTGCTTTTAGCTTGCTACATCTCCAGGTAAAATGGTGCTGTGTGGGAGAAGGTTTTACTTGGTTAAAGCGGGAGGCAGCAATCAAAGCAAACAAATTCAGTGTATACACACAAAACAGGTATAAATCAACCCACTAATGTCTCCAACTGTGATTTTTTCATTATTTCTAATCTCCTCAGCAGCATATCTTAATTTGACTCTAAGATAAATTTCAGAAGTTTTCAGGGCCGTTCAAATACTACATGGTTATTGTCTGAAGCCCTGTTTCACAAGACATTGATTGGGGTGGGGGGGTTACAATTGGTATTTTATGACTAAAGCGATTACTAGGGAGAAAAAACCCCGTCTCTGCTACATGACAAGCCAGGCCTCTTGCAGTTCCATTTCTGTGGCAAGATACTGACATCCAGTGGCCAATTAGGCTAATTATAGGCCACTCTTCCCGGGGATCTGAGCAGCTTCACGGTGCTCCCAGCCAAGGCAAGCAGCAGCGACACAAACGCTACTTACGAGTTCACACTTCAAGCCCTACATTTAGGGGTTGCTGCTTTCGCACTGTGACAGTTGCCTGTTTGCCAGCGCTATGAGAGCTACTCTGTAAGCTCTTCCAAGCTCGTTTCCTAGTTATGACACCACAGAGGCCATTGGCAGGCAGAGTGTGACAAGGAATTTTTCCTAGAAGGAAGCATGTGGTTAGGGTTTTTAACACAGCATTCAGAAGGGTGCACTGTGGAAGGACCAGCCCTTGTGACCATACCAGTACATTTCTGATCAGAAAAGGCAACCATCAGACAGTTACGGGTATTCTAGCCTCACACCAACCTGGCAAAACACAGATTTTTGTCTCGCTAATTCACCAACAGAAGGGAAAACAAACTAGTCTCTATCTGTACTGAACCAAGAAGGAACATAACAGGAGGGAGGGGAAAAGACATACTGTAACCCATTAGTCACGTTTGGCAGAACAAGGCCAGACCCACAGCTACAGGTGCACCTCAGCGGCAATTTTCAAAGCTCTGTGAACACAAAGGCAGCTGCACTACAATGACAAACAAAGCTATATGAGAATCAGAACCACCACAGGCAGTTCCCTTCTGTGGTATCTCGTCCAGGATGGCAGCAGGGATTTAGGAGGTCCTCAAAGAACCTGAACAGCTGCAATTCATTCTCAACCTCCATTTGAGTTTTGCAGCTTTGTCACTACGTGCAATAAAATAATTCTTGAAAAACACAGAATGGAAAGAGCAAACCCCATGCTCTG